TATATATATATATATATATATATATATATAAAGACCGAGGGGCCAAAATATTTCGGCAAGCGTTCAAGAAGACAAGGGTTTGCTCTTCTTCAAAACGCGCGAGCTACGCCTCACGCCGCCCCCGACCTCCCCTTCCTCATTCAAACCAGGTCCAGCAACCAGCGACCCCTTCGCCGGTTCCTTAAGGAGACTCTCCTGTGCAACTGATTTTCTCGAGCCCTGACTGCCTCGAACACCGCAGTCGGTAGGGCTCTGCTGAGAATGTGAGGAAGCCTGGGCTTGTAGAGAGCCCTCCGGAAGAAACCCTCCCCGTCTAGGAGAAGCGTCATCGGTCGTGGGTGACCCTGCAGTGGAGCGGCTGCGGCCAGCGGGTCGGCTCGAGTGAGCGGGGGGACGTTGGGGTGTCTTGACAGCTGACGATCCCCCAGTGCTCGGCTTCTGTGTCGACTGGCGTGAAGCAGCCCCCTGCTTGGTCTGCCGGCCTGCCGCCGATGATTTGGTCTGTAGGCCGGCGGGTGACCGCGCACCCGGCGAGTCATCTGCGGACTCCTCCAGCTCGCAGTCCGAAACCAAATGCAGAACATCTTCTGGAGTTAGCCCGCACCATTCATCTTCTTTGCTGAAGAGAGAAGGCGGCGGAGAGTAAGCACATCCTGTCAGCAGGCAGGCGGCCTGCAGCCACCCAAAGACACATAAGCAGCTCCAGCCCAACACCGCTTCTTCTTCTGTTTACCAAGACGAAATCTACAATAAAACAACCTTCCGAGGTTGTTCTGCGCGTCAACAGTGCATGTGCTTAACACGAAGTCCACCGATACTGTTCTGGCTCTGAATGTACTTGAACATGGGTACATCCACACATCTATACATGCATACTCAAATAAAAACAAGCAGTCGCACAAATAAATATGTGTATTCTTTCATTTCCACTGTATGCTACGTGTGAGCAGATCAGAGAGACACAAGATGGTGAAAACCCTCACCTCTCTGGCGAGCTCTTCGTCTCGATCGCTGCCTATGAATTCTCTCCATCCCTTTCTTTCTCCGACCAAAGGATCTCCTTGAAGAGACTCTTGAGGACTGCGCTTTCGCTTTCGTCCCGGTCTCTTCTTTGCTGGAGCAGACGAACTGCAAGGACTCTGGCCCTGCCGGCAAAACAGCGGGTGCCCGTCAATCTTCAGGCTGCGCCGCTCAGAGCGAGGAGGCAGCAGCAAATGCAAGAGAGGCTCTGTCACCATCAGAAAGCGATCCACAGTGGCTTGTTCGCTCGGGCGGAGGCAAGTCTGCACGCATCTCCAGACACAAAAGCAGCAGCGGCAACTGCAACAACAGCAGCAGCAGCTTGTGCTACGGCGACCCCGGCGCAGTTCAACTTTATTCTACTACTGCTGCGCTGTTGCCCGATGCCGTGGCTACTTCCGTAGACAGAGGCAGTCCACTGCAGCTGCTCTCAAGATGTTTCCTTTTATGTCTGCCTGTGCATGCAACTCCGTGTGGCGGCTGGCGTACGTGCACTTGCTGTGGTGTTTGGCGTGCTGCCCGTGCCTGTATAGACGCTGTGTGTGTCTCTCTGTGGTATCTGTCTGGTATCCTTACTCGCGACAGCTGACAGCTACAAGTCAGACTTTCGCTAACCCCAGCATCCAGATGAACTGCAGCAGCTTTCCCCTTTATGTCGTAGTGCAGCGGCCACCCGAACTGCGAGTATTAGCAGCAGCAACCCGCAAGAAGGCAGACATGTAGGAGACAAACGTATCATCTACAGATGCGGCAAAAGCCGGGTTGCGTCAACAAACGCATACACAAACATGCACTAGAGAAACGAAAACAAAACGTACACAAGGAAAATAACAACAAATAACAACACACACATACACAGTCTTCGTGCCTCACTAACGCGGGAGAAAACTCTGCTCCGTGCTGCTGCTGCTGCTGCTGCTGGTGCATTAGAATGCCATTTCGTACGTTCTTGATGGCTGGCAGGAGCATCCAACACTGCCTAGGCCACAGGTCGAGGTCTCTTCTGTCTATGAAAACGGATTTGAAGCTTTGGACCCTTGTTTGCTGCTGCTGCTGCTGCTGCTGCTGCGGCTGTTGCTGCTGCAGCGGCGAAGGAACATACGTGAACGCTTCCAGCGCAAACGCCTCCACAACAGCACGAGGCAGCATTACCTGCAGCAGCAGCCGCGTGCTTCGGGCTGACAGCCGATGGTTTACCCATAAGGCGCGCAGCTGCCGCTCATTGGAGGCAAGAGATTCGATTAGACAGCCGCCAAACACCTTCGACAGGCCCACAGTGTTCGGCACCTGCAGCAAAATGCATCCCCACAAAGGGCCCTATATCCTAAACCCCAAAATATCAAAATCGTGAACTGGGACGCACACTTCGTGGCAAACGTCAAACCCCAAACCCTAGATGCGCATAGCTAAACCCTTAAATCCCCACAATCCATCATCTAGCAGAAGGCCTCTGATGACGAAGGGCCGAGAAATGGGGCCCATACAGCGCTGGGCTGCGCAAGACTCATAATGCGAATGTTGCTGCTGCGTTTCAGATGTACGTACAGCTAAAGCAGGGGCGTACAGATGAGCTGCGTACCGCGTTCTTTGCCGAAGAAGGAGGCTTAGGGCGGACCTGCTTGCTGTGAACTGTCAGCAGCAAACCATCGAAGTCTTCGCACAACAACTCACGACTCAGCTGCGGCAACTCAGCAGCAACAGCACGCGGCAGCGGCTGCAGCCTGAAGGGCAAGTGGCGGTTGCGCGGATCACTGGGGCAGTTCCGTACGGATGCTGTCAACAGACACAGCAGACCCTAAACCCTAAACCTTAGGTATCAAACAAGGAGAGACGTTTTACATCAACATCAACCACAACTCTGCACGCATGCGATGTTTAAGCAATGTACTCAAAACCCGTTGGTAGAGAGGGCAACATGCGTGCAAAGTACCCTGCACTCCTAAACCCTAAACACTGGCTTCCGTCTACTGCAGATACGTGAGCGCGAACTCCAGCTTGTTCGATTCAAGAAAGAAATTCAAGAAATAGAGTTAAGGACTGGTTTACTTAGTGGATTTTAGCGAGGGTACAGAGAGTGCTCAAATATGCACCTGAGAAGCTCCAGTTAGCCTTTATTCTTCTCGCAAGGAGTCGCTGGTGGTTTAGGAGCTTCAAGTGGAGAGGATGCTGCTGCAGCTGCGCCGCTACATCTGCCCAATTGTTGCAGTTTGGGGGCAGCGAGAGGGGCAGCCGCAGAAGCTGCACCCGCATGCCATGGCGGTCAAACCAGGCATCGCTTTCTTCAATCAGAAGCCGCTTCTGGACCTCGCGCCAGTCGCCTTCCATCCCTCGAGGTATACGTACAGCCCATTTGATGTCCCTGATGCGTCAAGTGCTGTTGCGATGCTCACAACGAGTGTTATTGGCGCTACAGTCACCACCCTTGTACTTGTCTCTGCTGCTCCTCCCACGCTCTGCTACTACTAATGATTTCAATGTTGTGGTTATTCCTGCTGCTGCTGCTGCCCCTCCCGGTGCTTCTGTTGCCACTCTGTTGCATATTGTGTAGATGCTGACACTGCTCCTGGCCCTCCTTCTCCAGCTGCGTCCGTTGCTAAGCCGTGTGCCTGTCGCCTGTTGCGTGCGGGCGGGAATCGGTATGAACCTTTAAAGGAGTAAGATAAGTGCACAATTAAGCCAGCGCTGTGGTTGCTGGACAATGCATGGCTGCACCCTAGGACTATGCACAGAAGTCACACGGTGCCGAGGAAGGGGAAATCCTTGGCCGCGGGGAGCCTCTTGCGGATGAAACTTCCGAAATAATAATAAGCAATTTTGGAGCAAATTATAATAAAATTTTCTTGAATGTATGTCCCCTTGGCTGAGCCCGGGGCCCCCTCCAGCTGTCCATTCGTTTGCAGCCCCGCAAGGCACGCTGGTCCAATCGTTCTCAACTTTGCAGAAGATTTCCTCTTTAAACTTATTAATTAATGAGGAACAAATGCGATATTCTACTGTAATTAACAATTCTAGAACGCATACTCGTCGTTAATAACTCGTCACCCAGACGGACCTCAGCCCCATGCACGGGAGAATACTAGTGGCTGCGATCCACGGAACAAGATCTGCAGATGCCAGGGTATAACTTCTCTGTAGACATCATTATTACAGAAAACATATATTTTAAAGGGGTAGTTTTCCAACAGAAATTTGTGTTGCAGCGAGCTCTGGAGCTTGAGACTTTGTCGAACACTGTATGAATCGCTTGGCTCCAGTTACTTGCATGGTCTGTCTGACGTTGGTACGTGTATTTCTACTTGCATGCGAGATGGCTGTTGAGGGGAAAGAAGGCTCCTAGCATTTGTCTGCATCCGCTGAGCTTGCAGGAAAGGGCGCCTGCCTGTGTTTCAGTTGGGTATTCCTCCTCAGAGCTAGCTGCACGACGGTGCATTGCAATTGATGACATTCCGCCTCTCCGCACCAGTCCCAGGCCGTTGTTTCTCTGTGCCCAGAGCAGCTGAAGACTGGAGGGCAACTCAGCTGCGTTTTGAGGACAAGTGGTTGTGTTTCTTTTGACCCATTTGCACCTTGCGCCTGTCGAAAAATTAGACGGACTTTGCAACCTTGCTGCACTTAGTGAAAACGCACAAGGGAAGGTACGAGCTGGGGATGCCACCTCTACAGCCTGGCTGTCTCCTGCATAGAGCTGATTAGTAGCGGAAATAGTTGCTTTGCAATATTCCAGCAACCCTTAGAAATTCTGCGTAAGATCGTCGCCAACAATCCAGGCCCTTTAGTCCTTTCGCAAAATGCCGATGAATCAGGATCTGCCTTCTCGTGGGGTGGCTTCCAATTTCTAAGCTTCCTGTCCCATTAAAACAAGTGCATGCGAATCTCCACCAAGGCAAAGGGCCTGTACAGCAGCAACTTTTGCTGAAGTCTGTCCCCGCTGTAATTACCAAACTCCCCAGAAGAAGAAGAGGGTTCATAATAGGCGACTTCCGGAGAATTGGAATCCACATTCAAGGAGGAGATTACAGGTCATGCGCTTTTGCTTTTTCTATACCAAACAAGGTCACTTACGTCGAGGCTACAGACTCAAAAGCTCGGCTAAGGAGCTCGAGTTCCTACCCTGGCAGAAACACTATTAGAGTGATCAGGTAAATGCCATGAATGCCGACCAACAAACTGCTTAGATTGATCATCTTTGGTTCAACTTTATGGTCTCCAAGTTCGTAAGTTCGCTCAGAAGTTGCAAGCGTTATTTTGCACATGCGGGGAGGCGCCGTTCCTATCTGACGGCCTGGAGACGAGGTGTAACCTACTTGCAACCTATCTGCTTATTCGATAGAGCCGTGCCTCGACTCGTTTGAACAGGAGAATACAACTAGCAAAACAAAGTAGCAGCAAGAACCCATTTTTCAGCTGTCTACGAGCGCATTTGGAAATAATCCGGTGATTGAGAATAAGCAGGGTGGGAGATTGTGAATTCAAGACCTTCAGCGAAGCAACTGCGGAACAACTGCTCACAGTGTCCCAGATAGGCAAATGGCTTAGCGTTCTTCTTCAAGGCTTAGCACTCAAACCATCAGAATCACCACAGCAGTAAGGAAACAGCCAACAGCAGTTTGTCCTTTGGCTCCAGAAGATTGTAGATCTGCGGCTGCACTTTAACTTGCTGACAGCTCCACTAACTGAAAGTTACTGCAGCGGCAGCAGCGGGAGCCAAAATAACAACAATACCCGGAGCACACAGCAACAGCAGTAACAGCGACAGCAGCAACCGCAGGGCGAACAACAAGAAGAGTGGAAAAACGATCATAAACTTAAGGAGAATTAAAAACTGGTGCTGATGGGAGAAGAAGTGCAGCCGCAAGAGATACAGCAACAGGAACTATTGGTGTAGAAGAACGAGCACTGGCTGCACCAACAGCAAGCAGTAACCCTCCCCTTTCTCCGTCGGTTCCCTGTTAGTTGGCCAAACAGACGAACGCGTCTGTTCTGTGGCAAAGGGTAGGGACAGATGTAGTGTACTCTTCTTGGAGCTGGTCTGTATTTTCTTACTGGTGTGCATTCTTTCTAGTGGGGGAAGAGGAAGTACATAATATAACTGCTTACAGGGGGAAGAGAATCAACGAGGAGGGCTTGAGTACCCTTGAATATTTGGTATCAACAGTGCAACAGCTGCAGCGAAATAGGTGCTGCAGCAGCTGTCTCGCCTGCAACTTGTCGCCTTCATCAACAGGCCAGAGTGGGAAGAAGGATTTGAGGGAGGAAGGGAAAGAAGAGGGTGTTTGGGAGCTTTAAATTAATTTACTTTTCTTCTATTGGTGCTAACGATTGTCTATATAATAGGATAATTTCTGTAGAAGTCTGTGGTGTATATATACGGTCCCACTGCATGTTGCTGCGCCTGCTGCTCTTTGGTGCAGCAAGGCGTTGCTGTTGCCGACGAGTACTTCTTTGGAGGAGGTGTTTCCTTTGTTGTTGATTCTTAAAAGTAATTTATTTCTTGGTTTATTTTAAAAGAGGTCGCGAGTTGTTAAGGTGTCGCTGCGGTGTCGACCATTGAACAGCAGCAGCAGCAGCAGCAGCAGCAGCAGCGGCGGGCGAGAAGGGTGTTTGTTGCAGCTGTTGTATGCAGCAGCAGTTTGGTGGCGTTGGCATAAGGGGAGTTCAAGGGTTTTGTTGATTTAATTTTCTTATAATTTTTGTTTATTTAAAAAAAGGAAAAAAATAAAGTGTTTATTGTGTGGCGAAGAAGGAAGACGACGAAGGAGTTAACAACCAGATCCTGGGCGAGCAGCAGCAGCAGCAACTTGCCCAGCAGCAGCAGTAGTAGAAGCGGCAGCGGCTGCTGGTAGCAGCAGCAGCAGCGGGCGTGGGAGGAGCAAGCAGCCAGCGGCCGCTGCTGCTGTTGCTGCTGCTGCTGTTGCTGCTGTTGCTGCTGCACGACCGTGTTTTTCTTCGAGACAGTGCAAGTAGTTCTCTAAAGACAGTATAGTTCTCCTAATTGTTTGTTGCTGCATTCATCTTTTTCTGCATTCTCTTCCTCCCTGTTCCTCTGCCTCTGTCCCTCCCTCTCCTCCCTTTTCTTCTCCCGTTGCTGTATCTGCTGCTGTAGGTTGCTGCTGGTGTACTGGTGGTACTAGAGTTGCTGCTGCTGTTCCTCCTCATCCTGCTGTATCAGCGGGGTCGTGTGGGAGCAGCAGCAGCAGCAAAGCCCTCCTCCTCTTCCCCCGCAGCTCGGGGGGGGGGGCCCCTACCCC